TGGAGACCATATGCCAACAACAACAATAATAATAATGCACAAATGGAAATGTGGAGTTTTTGAACTTAGTAGAGAGGATCACTATATATTTGTTGCATCTAGTATATTCCTATGTGCAACCATTGTATTTTTCATACTGTACATGGTTTAATTCAGAGATTATGAAAATCTGCCTACAAGCATTATTATGAGATTTGTACCCAGGTAATAGTATGTCTGTCTGTCAGCCAGTCAGACTGCCTGTCTGTCCGTCTATTTCCCATCTTTGCTATTTTTATAAATAGCTCATGGCGACAAACATACCTAATAATCCTTTCTCTTATTTTCCCCACAACAACCCTATGAGGTGAATTGATTCAGATGCATGTATACCTGAGCTGAATAACAAACTTATGCAGGATAGAAAATAGTGAACTTAAGTCACAATAAGACAGATTCTGCTTGAAAAACTTGAAAAGTTCAGCAATATAACCAATTACTGAGGGAGGCAATGATCTCCCTTGAGTAGATTTATTCAAGAAGTGGGTGGACAGGTATCTATCAAGAAACTCTTTAGCACTGATTGGTTCCCTTAGTACAGAGCTGGGCTCAATGTCCTTATGGCCTTTTCTGTTACTGTGTTTCCTACAGCTGGAATGAATTTATTAACTCTTGACTATTGTACACAATTCCTTTTAGCTCTGAGGAACTGCCTTGGAGAAGGATGGACGGAAGTTCTGAAGAGAAAAACATGATAAAGAATACAAGAAGAACTACAAGAATGGAGGAAACAACTATAGCTAAAATCCATACCTACTCACATTTATTTATACAATCCCAGTTTTGAAAAGAGTGTGGCTTTAGTAGGCTAAACCTAGAAGTTGTCTTCCAATCTTGGGCTGCTTGAGACAGACAGGCTTGAAAAGAGACGTCATACGCACACAACACTAAAATTATCATGCAATTCAAACAAATATGGAGAAATTCAAACAAATATGGAGAAATTCAAACAAATAATGGAGAGAAGGACCTGTACATTGACTACCATGCTGACTGTATCAAAAGTAAACCACTCAACCCAATACTCAGCTTTTACCCTCAACCACAACCCTACCTCAACCCATCCACCATCACCCAAGACTAGGCACGCACGCCCCCAACTACCTCAATTCCAACTACTGCCGGCCTTAAATGCAAACTACTCAATGCAAGAAGCCTCGTGAATAAAATACCTGAATTTCTCTTCCTCCTAAATATGGCTAACTTCGACATTATATTTGTCTGTGAAACATGGCTCAATGCATCTCTCCCCGACTCCATTACCACAGTAAGAGACTATCATGTTTACAGATCAGATCGTGAAAATCGTCGAGGAGGTGGAGTTGCTATATTCTATAAAAAATCCTTACATCTAAAAAATATCCAAGTTACCCAGGAGTTTGCCCTTCCTGAAACCATCATCTGTGAACTATCCTCAAATATCACAATTCGATTCTTACTATGTTACAGAGCACCTGATTATGACATCGAACATGTAAACAAGCTAAATACATTACTAACATGGGCTGCATCCTGCCCATACCCTTTTATCCTTCTTGGTGATTTCAATCTACCTCATATTAACTGGACCCTAAATGATTGTACAACTGAAATCATACACACAACCTTCTACAATGCTATTACAAATCTGGGACTGGAACAACTAGTAACCAACAACACTAGACTAAACAACTGCCTCGATCTCATCTTCTGCAACAGTTTGAACCTAATCTACGGAATACAATCTAAAGAACCCTTTTCCAGTAGTGACCACAATATGATCGACTTTTGTCTCAACATACATCCACACAAAAATCACCACAATGATGTAATCCCCTATTGTAACTTCAAAAAAGGCAACTATGATCTTATAGACAACGATCTCTCATCCCTTGATTGGCAATCTCTATTCACTGGATGCAATACCGTTGAAGACCATTATAACATATTTTTACTTGAAGTCAAAAGAGTCATCAAACTATATGTACCAACAACAACTCCCAAAACAAAACAAAAAAGCAGATTACCCATATCAATAAGGAAACTTCAATCCAAAAAGAGATCACTCTGGCGGAAAAACAAATCTGGTCACGTTGCCAATTTCAAAAACCGATACAAAAATCTATGCCACCAGATAAAGACTGAATGCACCAATTATCACATTAAACAAGAGGAAAACCTTCTAAGCACCAATTCCACCCGCGCTTTTTACAATTTTGTAAACAACAAACTAAAAGACTCAAGGTCCATCCCTCCCTTGATAGGACCTGATGGTAAAGACTGCAACGACGACACCATTAAAGCCAACATCTTTAACACATTCTTCGGCTCAGTATTTGTAAACAGCAATGGATCATGCCCAATATTTCCTAGCCGTACCACAGATAACAACAATGATCTGATACATATCGATTTCACAGAAGACAATGTTGAAAAAGCAATACGCAACCTAAAACCATCTCTATCTATTGGACCGGATGGAATATGTGCCTACTTCTTAAGAAAGCTATCCACTGCCATAGCCAAACCTCTAAGCATAATCTTTGAAAAATCTTTCAGAACCAGCTCCTTGCCTAACCTATGGTCACAAGCCACAGTCATCCCCATCTTCAAAAAGGGAGACCCAAGCCTAGTTGAAAACTACAGGCCAATCTCCTTATGCTGCGTCACCTGTAAAGTCATGGAATCAATTATTAACCAATCCATCATCCTTCACTTAGAGACAAATAACCTACTCTCCAATAAACAATTTGGTTTCAGGAAAAAACTATCCTGTAATCTGCAACTCTTACACTGCAAAAACATATGGACGACACAACTCGACCAGGGCAAAACAATAGACGCAATCTACATAGACTTCTGTAAAGCCTTTGATTCAGTGGTACACGACAAACTACTCCTAAAAATAAAATCCTATGGTATCTCTGGACAACTGAATAACTGGATAGAAGCATTCCTGTCAAACAGACAACAAATGGTCAAAATCGGGAGCGTCCTATCAAATCCAGTACCTGTCAATAGTGGTGTTCCCCAAGGCAGTGTTCTAGGACCAACTCTCTTCATACTCTACATAAACGACCTCTGTGATCATATTAAGAGCAATTGCGTTCTCTTCGCTGATGATGTAAAGCTGTTCAATACCACAGACAATACTGCTACCCTACAAAAAGATCTTGACTATGTATCAGAGTGGTCAAACAAATGGCAACTTCAAATCTCAACAAATAAATGCTCTGTCTTACATATTGGCAAAAAAAATCAGAAAATAAAATACAAGCTGAATAGTCAAGATCTTGTTGATGACCCAAGCTCTGTAAAGGACCTTGGAATACTCACCTCTAATGATCTAAGTGCTAGAGCACACTGCAACTACATAGCCAAAAAGGCATTAAGAGTTGTTAACCTAATCCTACGTAGCTTTTTCTCTGGTAATATCACACTACTAACCAGAGCATACAAAACATTTGCTAGACCAATACTCGAATACAGTTCATCAGTCTGGAACCCACACTACGTATCTGATATTAGCACAATTGAGAAAGTCCAGAAATATTTCACAAGAAGAGTTCTCCACTCCTCTACTCGCTGTAGAATACCTTATGCCACCAGACTTGAAATTCTAGAACTAGAAAACCTTGAATTACGCCGTCTTCGGTCTGACTTAAGCATGGTATACAAAATCATACATTGCAATGTCCTACCTGTCAATGAATACTTCAGCTTCAACCATAACAACACAAGAGCACACAATAGATACAAACTCAAAGTAAACCGCACCAAACTTGATTGCAGGAAATACGACTTCAGCAATAGAGTGGTCAATGTCTGGAATACTCTACCCGACTCTGTAGTTTCTTCCCCAAACCCCAAAAACTTTAACCTTAGACTGTCTACTATTGACCTCACCCCTTTCCTAAGAGGTCTGTAGGGGGCGTGCATAAGCGCACCAACGTGCCTACCGTCCCTGTCCTATTGTTTCTCTTATTCTTTTATTTTTCTTATATGTAACCATTTCATGTATTCACAACTATGTATACATTTATACTTATTATCTTGTAAACAATTGGCAAATCAATAAATAAATAAAATAAATAAATAAATAAATAAATAAATAAAAATACCTCAATAGTTCCTCCAAGTCCTCAGCAGGACTAACATTTAACAGAGGTTCTTTGTCTTCACTGGCTGTCATCAACAGCAGTGGATCTCCGAGAGTTACCACTCCACCAAGATCTGGTCCTTCAAATAATTTCACGTCTAACATTTAAACAAAAGACAGGCAGAATCAGGTCAAAATACAGTGATAAACAGCAACTATAGCCTAAATAGCAATAGCATTTAGACTTACATACCACTTCATGGGGTTTTACAGCCCTCTCTAAGCAGTTTACAGAGTCAATATATTGCCCCCAACAATCTGGGTTCTCATTTTATTGACTTCAGAAGAATGGAAGGCTGAGTCATTCTTGAGCTGGTGAGAATTGAACTGCTGGCAGTCAAAAGAATTAGCTGGCAATGCTGCATTCTAACCACTGTGCCACCATGGCTCTAAATGAGTTGGGTAGGCAAAGAACCTATTGGAGTTGCATGGGTGCAAGAAGAATTAACACAGAACTAGTTTCATATGATCCAGTTTCATGTAGGCCCCATCCACATAGAAGAATAAAGAGGTTTGCAAAGTGGGGACTATCAGATTCAATTGATCTATGTCACATTGCCATGAATCCTGAATTATGCTAAGTTGTATCACCGGCTTCCACTGCCAAACTATTTTGAGAGGAAATCAACCCCCGAGAGAATAAGATTTTATGATACCAATTTGCTTCTGCATAGAAAACAGGAAAAAATGACCCTTATTCCTTTTTAAACATAGAGTTATTTCATTCATTAGGTATACTAAATGAAGCATAGTTTATACTAGGCTTGGAGGAAGCTTTGAAATATTGTTGCACTACAATTCTCTAACCAAGAAAATTGATTATGGTTAAGAGAATTAGCCTAACCAAGAATAACCAATGGCCCATTCCAGTTTTACATAGTAAGCAGAAAAGTTAAGTGGATACTATATATCCTACAGACAGGATGCAAGTATTGTTTTCTTTCTTTAAATTATCTCAGTCTTTTTAAACATTTTGCATGAAGGATTTATGTAATAGTAATAGTTAACACGTTGAACAAGGACTAAGTTCAAACTTTCCCTTGGCCATGGAGGTTCACTATGAGATTGTTGGTTATTGATGTAAGGATAAGATTGGGGGGGGGGGGGGTTGATTGATTTGATCTGTCAGAGAAAATGCATGGTAGAAATGCAATAAATAAATAAACCTAGCTAAATAAACTAGGTAAGGAATTGCCACTGTGAAATAAGTAACTACAGTATATCCAGAATCTAAGACAGAGTTTTAAAACCAAAGATTCCATGTTTTGTGACACTTTTTAAAATCCTATAGAGCAGTGGCCCCCAACCTTTTTTGTGCCACGGCCTGGTACCGGCATCACAAAATGATCTGCGGCCCGGTACCGGCATCAGCACGCATGACAAGGCAAGGCAAGCTGAGCGACCGGCCAGCCAGCCGTCCCCCGCTTCTCCCCGCCACCTTCAAGTCCACCAAAAAGTCCTTTGTCGATGGGCTTCGCTTCGGGACGGCTTCGGGACGGTCGCTCAGCTCACCTTGCCTTGGGTGCTGAAAGAATCCTCGCGCCTTAGTTTCGTTTGAAGCCCCCCCCCCTCGATGAAACTAAGGCGCGAGGATTCCTTCAGGACCCAAACGCCGCTTTCCAACCGGAAAAGCTCACCCGGAAGCACTTTCTCGTCAAACAAGATGGCAGCGCCCAGCAAACCGGTGGCCCGGTAGGAAATGTTCCACGGGCCGGTACCGGTCCGCGGCTGGGGACCCCTGCTATAGAGTATATAACAAGAAACTTGATTATTCATTAATACCTTCTTTGACTGCCAATATCTTCCTGTTGCTAGGGGATGAAAAATCTTCAGACGTGCCAAATAGTTCTTCTCCTGGATCCACTTCTCCATGAAAAATTGTTAACTTGGTTTTATCTTCTTGAGCAGGAGAGAATGTGGGCTTCTTGAGTTTTTTAGATCTAAAATTTTAAATAATAAACCAGAAATTACTAAGAACCTTCTGGCAGGAAAGATTTCAATTTGGGATGTTGGTATTAAATCCTTTTCAACTATGTCGTTACTTTGATTTTATGAGCCATGAAAGAAGAAACATGCTGCCATTGCTCCATGGTTGAACTGCTCCATGGTTCTGAAAGTTTATTGAAAAATAAAGAAAAATAAAGAGTCCTCACTCTGCCATTCTGACCCAATGTTAATTGGGTCCTTGATCTGCATGGCCTATAGACAGTTTGGTGTAGTGGTTACAGGGCAGCGGTCTCCAACTGGTGGACTGTGGCTCACTGGTGGGCTGCGAGAAATTTTTGGTGGGCCACAGAGAAATGTCACCCCCAGAGCACCCCTCAAAGCAATTAATCCAGGCTGCACAGAAACACAAGGCTGTGCCCCCCACATGGCCTGTGGGAACCCTCCCCACCCACTCACTCCTTGCCCGGCAAACTTGCCTGCTAAGTTGCTATTTTTCCTTTTTTTTTTTTTTCAAGCACAGCCGAACCTCCCTTAGGACTGAAGGTTCTATTATTCAGTGCAGACTCAGGCAAGCAAATTTTGCGATGGACTCAGGTAGCTGATGGCAGATAGATAGATCACTGAATGATTCTGTGAGCAACTCGATCTGCCTGCCTGCTTTGCCTAATTTTGGGTAAAAGTTGCTCTTTTTTTTAATAAAAAGTTCAATATTTACATACATGGTGTGAGTTAATTTTGTGAGTTTGCTTGCTCGCAAATTTTATGAGTTTGCTTGCTAGCAAATTTTATGAGGTTGCTTGCAAGCAAATTTTATGTGACAGACTAAGCTGGCCCATGACAGATAGATAGATCTCTGAATGAATCTGTGATTCTGTGAGCAACTCAATCTGCCTGCCTGCTTTGCCTGATTTTGGGTAAAAATTGCTTTTTTGTAAAAAATTCAATATTTACATACATGGTGTGAGTTAATTTTGTGTTTGCTTGCTAGCAAATTTCATGAGTTTGCTTGCAAGCAAATTTTATGTGACAGACTGAGCTAGCTGATGGCAGATAGATAGATCTCTGAATGAATCTGTGATTCTGTGAGCAACTCAATCTGCCTGTCTATTTTGCCTAATTTTGGGTAAAAGTTGCTTTTTTGTAAAAAATTCAATATTTATATTTATAATATTTACATACAAGCCATGCCCAGCCAGTCACATGACCATCAAACCACACCCACAAATTAGGCCATGCCCACAGAAACAGTTAGTGGTCCCTGGGATTTAAAATTATGAGTTTGGTGGTCCCTGAGGTCCAAAAGGTTGGCGACCCCTGTAAATAAAGGGCACAGGCTAGAAGTCTGAGTTTTAGTCTTATTTTAACACAAAACCAGCTGGCTAACCTTGGGCCAGTCACACTCTTTCGGTCCTGGAAAGCAGGCAATGACAAACCAATTTTGAAAGCTTGCCAAGAAAACTTCAGGGACTTGTTCAGGCAATTGCCAGGTGTCAACATTAACTCATAGGCATACATACACATATACACACTGAATGGTCTATCCTATAACCATGGAGCTGTTGTTTCTACGCCATCTGCTTTAAATGTGACATACGAAAGATATTAATGGAAAGAATATTTATAGTTGATCATGAAATATTGTGAAAAAAAAATAAATACAGTAGTAACAGCCAAACTTGTCAAGTCTTTTTAAAAACAAAACCAGCAAATTTTATTCTACTTGGAAGAAAAAGGAAACCATACAGATCCTAAAAATATGTTGACATGGGCCTCCCAGCAATTCGTAAAGAATGGAAGATAATTCCAAGAAATATATTTCCATGCCATCTGGAAGTAATGGTAGCACACAGTTGCAGAACAGAGGGAAGGCATAGCTCAAATGAATTCAACAAAGCAACCGTTAAAATTGAATATTGTAGATGGAAAAGCTGGGGCCAGACCTTGTGAGGCCAGTTTTCTTTTTTTCCCAGGACCACAAGGTATAGTGAAACATTATACCACGTATACATGTCAATACCGTATCGCAAGATGGGTGGCATATAAAATCAATCAATAAATAACTGAACCTAACTGAACCTAACTATAGAGACATTGACTCAGGGGTGGGATTCCACTGGTATAACAACTGGTTCGGTGATTGCGCACGCATATGTGCCAAATGCGCACTCCGCATTTAAAAAAGCTCTTAATACTTACCTTCTACGCCAGTCCCTGTGAATAAGCCAGCTGAGGCATAGCAAACCCTTCTGCCGCATGAATCAGTTGTGCTTTAAAAAAAAAGGAAATAAAGCACAGGAAAGAGCAGGGGCTCATTGCAGCGAACTGGTTGGCTGCCAGCAAGGGGTTCGCCTGAATGGGTCTGACCCAGTAGAATCCCAGCCCTGCATCGACTTAAGAATGAAAGAATATTAAACCTGGAAATTTATTAAGAGTAACACTACTAAACTAAACTTGGCTATGAACTAATTTTAACCATTACTGATACTTAGGGAGAGTGTTGTTGCCAGATATCTTACAACTTTCTTTTCTATAGGCATCAGCGATGAACAAGTTGGTGACTGACAATAACTAGCAAGGTACATTTCCTAAGGTTACTTCAAAACAAGGAGGCTCTGGGCTTCTGAAATCTGTCTGTAGCAAGTTCCTGCAGTCACAAGCCATTCTGATGAGAGTATCCCTCAGTGGCGTAAGATGTACAAACTCAAGAGCAAAATATTTTAAGAATACATCCAACCCCAAAGACAACAGCGGTTGAAAGAATGCCTTCTTCCAAATAAGGCTGGTTATGCTGCCAAGTTCCAGTAATGGGGATTAAGGGAGAGAACACAGAACAAGAGGATTGATCAGAAATGTCCATATATCCAGCATGACATCGATAAAAGGAGCCGAGAAAGCATAACATGTTCCGTGGGAAGAGACAGATGCCTACCCAGCTGTCAGGTTTCACTTACATAGCACAGTTTGTAACTTCTCCAAGTGCCTCTTTTTCTTTTTCTTTTTTAAGTTGAAATATGGAAGGCTATTTCTAAGGGTTCGTTGCTGCTGGACTAAAACAAGTCATGAGCTTCCAATTATCACTGTCATTCCAGTCATTGCTGATTCATTGCTAGTACTCTGGGTAAATAAAACTGCAATGTTCCCAGAACATTGTTCAAATTCTGCAGGAAAATGATACTTTAGTACTAAAGAAAGTTTAGAACAAATATATATTTGCTCTCTCTATATATTTGTTCTATGAGCCCGGTGGCACAGTGGTTAGAATGCAGTACTGCAGACTACTTCTGCTGACTGCCTGCAATTTGGCAGTTCAAATCTCACCAGGCTCAAGGTTGACTCAGTCTTCCATCCTTCCGAGGTGGGAAAAATGAGGACCCAGATTGTTGGGGGCAGTATGTCGACTCTGTAAACCGCTTAGAGAGGGCTGTAAAAGCACTGTGAAGTGGTATATAAGTCTAAGTGCTATTTCTATATATAGACACAATTATTTCCATTTGCTGAATAACTTTAATTGCTTTGGAGATATTAAAAATATTGTTTTTAATACATATTTCTTTGATTTGTGTCCCTTTATACAGTATATGTGTTCTTATCAGAAGAATGAACAATAGTTTTCCAAGATATTTCCCTATTAATTTTATTCAGTTGCTCTATATACAGTACATAAAGCCAATATAGGTTAGAATCTGGTTCACAGTACAATGCATAAGCAATGTCTTTTGCTAAGGTCATCTCTGTTGGGTTATAACTTTCTTGCAGAAGAAAAAGGCACAGATAAAACCAATTTCATAAACTACCATTATAGCGTGAATTTGTTTTAAGGTTGATAGGAAACACAATTTGCTTACTTACAATGATGAGAAATGAAAGTTTCAATGTTAATCAAGCTCCTAAAACTCAGTGTAAGGTAAAGTCCTGTCCTAAGCAGGGATTGCACCTCAGTTCTCTTTTCACTTATCTCCTCTGAACGTTGCTATATTTTGTTGTGTAAAGTAAAATTAAATCAAGCTAGCTTGGAAGTCCTTTGTCATCTAAGGGGGTCCTGAAGAAAAGCAGGAATTTTTTTTCCACATTTCCCTTGCAGCCTGTCTCATGATTCATCTTTTTCACTAGAAAACAGAAGATTGCCTGAGTCTTCAACGGTATCCTTCAACAATGGAACAGTAGGTTGTGATTCAAGAAGACATAAAAGAAGTAGGAAGCTATGCACAGCTAGAGGTAATGGAAAGATAACATTAGAATTTTCAGTGCCAACTGTTGTATTTACACAGAGGTCGGAGGTCCTATTGAACTCTATGACGTCTACACAAAATAAAGAGAGGACTAATTATTGCAACTTTTTGTGATATGTTTATTTGAACCAGTTCTTCTCAAGCATTACTTAAAATTGGTAGGGAAATAATAGGGGAAGAAGATGCTGCCATAAAGCAGCTTGTAAATGCCCCGTTCAGCAATATTATATAGAACCTCATAGTAGGAACAAATGAGGATGGAACACAAAGCCACTTGCTTCCTTGTTCATCATTTTCAAGTACAGGTGGTTCTCGACTTACAACAGTTCATTTAGTTACAACGGCTCTGAAAAAAAGTGATTTATGACCATTGTTGCATCCCCATGGTCATGTGACCAAAATTCAGACACTTGGCTACTGACTCATCTTTATGATGGTTGCAGTGCCCTGGTGTCCTGTGATCCCCTTCTGTAACCTTCTGACAAAGTCAACGGAGAAGCCAGATTCACTTAACAAATGTGTTACTAACTTAGCAACTGCTGTGATCCACTTAACAACTGTGGCAAGAAAGCTCATTAAATGGGGCAAAGCTCACTTAAGAACTGCTTCATTTAGCAACAGAAATTTGGGGCTCAATTGTGGTCATATGTCGAGGACTACCTGTAGTTTGGAGTAAAAAAGCTGCAGTACCATTCAAGAAAAAGGATGGTCCCCATTTCAGTGGCGGTATTCGACTGGTTCTGCCAGGTTCTGAAGAGCCGGTA